GTTTTCTCCACCCCAAAAGACCAAACCGGGGGGGGGGGGGGGGGGGCGTCTCTACCAGCGGAGGTCCAGGTAGCGCAGGCTGCCGTTGAGCCTCAGGCCGGCGCTCAGCCTCTCCATCCCCGCGTCGCCCATCCCCATCTTCCCCAGGTGGAGCTCCAGCAGGCCGCCGTTCGCCGCCAGCATCTCGGACGCGTGCACCGCCCACTCCTCCTGCGGGACGGACACCCCGTCAGCTGAAGGCGCGCGTGCGTCTGAAGGGACCTTTTGGGCGGCGGCGTACCTGCAGGCTGGGGAGCAGCGGGCGGCTGAGGTCGACGGAGAGAAGAGTCTCGTTGCTTCCCAGAGCGACGGCCAACGCCATCACGCCCTGAGTGTCCTGTGGGGGAAAAGGTCACTCGGTAATCTTTGTACATGCGTGTACATGTGTGTGCGCGCGTGTGTGTGTGTTTACCAGGTCGCAGTCGGCCAGCTCCAGCTCCCTCAGGGTGCTGTTCACCTGCAGCACGCTGGCCAGGTGCGCGGCTCCTCTGCGCTCGATCTTATTGCCGGACAGCCTGAGGGAGAGCAAGGTGCTGTTGCACTGCAGAGAGAGAGAGAGAGAGGGCGTGAAAACAAACCCAATAATAAACCCCGTTCAGCGGGAAGCAGAAAGCATTAGTCGTGTGTGTGTATAGTTACAGACCTGCAGGCTCCTTGCGAGAACTTCCGCTCCGGCTCCCCGGATGTCGTTGAACATCAGGTCCAGAGAGCGCAGAGACGAGCTGTCGTCCTGCTCGGTGACAACGGAAGGATCCACAATATCAGTCATGTGAGAAATAACAAGAAGGAGAATCTGGTGGAGAGCGTCCTCCATCTCCTGCTCACCTGTAGGAGGTCGACTAGGTGTTCAACCCCTTTGTCTGTTATGTTATTGTACCCGACATCGAGACCTGTTGATGCACAAAACGACCTTTACTTTGTTTAAAAGAGGAGATGAAAGTGTCCTAAGCGAAGGTGTTCGCCCACCTGTTACACTCTTATTGTTTCTCAAGCATTTTGAGAGGGCAAGAACGTCGTCGTCATCAAGTCGCTGAGCGTTTCCCCGGCGACTGTTTCCTGGCAGTTTTATTGTCACACCAGTGCTAAATAAACAACAACAACAATACTTATATTGACTTCATGACGTCATGACGTCCATATTAATGAGTCTAAAATAAAACCAGGTAACGTTACATGATGTAGTTTTTGTTTTTGCCCCAGGTATATAAATTGTAGTAGTAACATTTCATTTCTTAACTGTGACGTTACCGTAGAAATATCTATTAAAAAAAGTTAAAGTTAATCTTAACCTTCACTTTTAGTGAAAGAAGGTCAACTTTGAATTACTCAATTTAGATGTATGCACTTACCCTGTTAGCGTAGTCTTCTCTAAAACCTCCTTAACGTGTGGATTGATTTCTATCTCATGGTCTGCGCAGACAGCGGAGTAACACGCGGACATGTTTACTGCAGCCATCCTGGGACCTGTCGTTGAGTTTGAGTTTCTATGGCAACAAGTCGAGATGACATCTTGCAAAGGACCGACAAGACAATAAAGGTCATACAAAAATGTTTTATAAAAAACGTTTAAATTTAAGCTCAACAAATGATTGTTATCATACGACGGGGCATTCTTGGATGCCCCGATCATGGATATACTTTTTGTTTTCCTAATCTCACAATATATGAACAGACCCAGAAATCGAGCGGGTCATGTTTAAAAACGTGTGTAATAAAGAGAGTAAAATGTGGATTTTTTTCAAATGTAATTATTCATGTTTGCTAGTAATTCTACGATAGTAATCAACGTTCCACTCTCGTCCGTTTTTTTATCCGGGCAAAGCGGTGTTCATCTTGACCAAACCGACTCTTCTTTGCCAGTTAACGGCGCAGTCTCGCGAGAATCCCTGACGTCACGGGATAATGGCTGAAGATCGCGGATACCAAGAAGGTAGTTTTTCTGCTTTTATTTACTTCGTGCCGGATAAACATTAACGTGTTTACTAACTCGATTTGTTCAATCCGACGACGCGTGCCGGCGCCCCGTCGGTGAAATTGGTGTTTTCTGACATTTAGCGGCCACTTGCATCGACACACACCGCCGGTACCAAACGACGAGCCTTCGAAATAAGAGCACAATGTTTTCCGCGCTTTTTCTCGCCACTACGAAAATGGTTAGCACCGCTAGTTAGTCCCCCGCCCCGGTTTAAACGGTCAACCGGCTAACGTGGTTCCGTGAGTGGAGTACTCATCGGCTGGAGTCTTCATCTACCGGAACGCGATACCGACGGACGGCCGCCAGAAGTCGGCTTAAGCTAGCTACGACACCGCTGTTAGCATTAGCATGAGCGCGAGGCCTGCTCAGGAAGCGGGCGTGAGCTTTTATTTTCCAAAACTACTTTTTTTCCATCTCACCTGTCGAAGCTGCTGAGAATAATATCCACCGATGAGTGTTTACATATGTGCTATCATATACTTTCATAATTCTCCATTCTCTTTTTCTAAATGCATGTGTCCTCCAACAGAGAAAGCTACAATTTAAGAGTTAAAGAAAGAGGAGACAAACTACTAACAGTAAGTTGGTACTTTTATTATACGAATGCTTTTAATTGTATTTTAAATGTGCTTTGAGGTCATGTATCATTATTTTAATTGAACATGGGTATTCTGTTGGCCCTATAGAACCCTATTCAATTTGTAGGACTTTAAATTGATCTTTTCATGTATTAAATGCCCGAAGGGTATTAAATACATAATAAAGTGCGTCAACACTACAAAGAGAAGTCAGTATTTTACCTTTTTATAGTTTTTTAATAACGATATATACTTTATTTTTATGGGGAAGCTGCAACTTGAAACAATATAATCAAGGCAGTACAGAACCCCCCCCCCATTTAAATGTGTATCAGTCAAAGGTGTGTCCAAATAAATATTGCACATGCCAAAAGTTGGAAAAACATGGAAATGATGACTATATGCAACAGTGCCCCCTTGCTTAGAATCCAGCTACTTAAGTACAGATGAATGTGCTTTCTTGTCAAGTGTTATTCTAGATGTTAGGAGGAAAGAATAATGAGACGGATGTGAGACGGGTCCCTCAGAATCCTGTCCTCATGTCAGAGATGGAGAGCCTCCATTGTTGTCCAAAAATAAGGTTGAAGCTACGAGCCACTTGGTTTCTTCCTGTTTTCATTGTCTTTGCTCAGCGCAGTGGCCAGCAGAATTATTGAGCCTTTTATATTTACAGAATCAATCTTTATACCTGAGTTTGGTTTTAAGGTTTGTCTCTTCAGTACTACAACACATCTAATATTCTGGAATTTGCATAATAGTTATTTGAAAGCAGTATTTAAGAAAATAATCAAATATTTACATTCTAACGTTAAAAAAATTTTTGGTTGCATAAAATTGACCCTTTTATCTTTTTATAAATGTCTCTAAAACTCTCAAATGTAATAAACATTATCACATAACACCAACATTGTTTAGTGGGAATTATGTAAATAACGTATTCTTAACAATAGGTGTTGTTTGATGAACTGGATTCATGCGTCTTTAATTGTGGCGCTCGTTATCTGTGAGTTACAAACCAAACTCGTCTCCGTTGATTGTGTCTTTGTGCAGAGGTCAATAAGAGGAGCAATAAAACACAGCGGCGTTCACGTCTCCTCCCTCCGTCGGCAGCAGCGATGGCTCAGGTCACCAGTCACGGGAAGCTGCTGTTGCAGCGCCTGCACCAGCAGCGGGAGATGGACTTCCTGTGCGACATCACCATAATGGTGCGAGACGTGGAGTTCCGAGCCCACCGCAACATCCTGGCAGCGTTCAGCAAGTACTTCTCCACCCAGGCCGAGCGGGGTCAAGAGGTCACCACGCTGGACCCCGAAAAAGTCAGCCGCTACGCCCTGGAGAAGCTGTTGGAGTTCATCTACACCGGACAGATGAATCTCAGCAGGTAAAATCAAAATGGCGTCGAGTGCACCCCACGATGTTTGGGATGAAACGACCCGTGACGTCGCTTTAAAGGATGTGTCTGTTTTTACGGGCTTTTCAGCACCAGACAGGCGGCGGTGCGTCGAGCCGCTCTGTTCCTGGGGATATCCGAGGCCACCAGGTACCTGGTGGAGACCCCCCACTGG